CCTTGGGCGTCGCGTAATGGGGGGGCGACAAGTGGTGGGGCGGCGAGGGCTGCAGAAAAGGTGCCGTTCAGGGTTCGTCAATGGGTCCTTCAGGGCCCGAGAAGTGCACCTTTCTCCCCCCCCCATGTGCAGTCAACCCGCATAGTCAGGATGAGCAGCTTTCCAAGGCTGCCCTCACATCCTTGCCCAGTCGCCCCGTCCGTGGCGACTTTCGCTGGCCAACCTCGCTCGAAAAACGCTGGCATGGCCTGCCAGGGCCCTGGCGTCCCTGCCGTGCAGCCTTCCTATCAGGGTCGACTGCATCGCCCCCCCCCCCGGGGAAGCGACGCCCACTGGTCGGTGTCGTCGTCGCCGTCGTCGCCGTGGAGGACGGCCGACGGGGCGCAGGGAGGCGCGTGCGGGCGTGCCGCGCTCTGGCCGCCCCTCCGCCCTCGCCGCCACCGCACTGCCGTCGGGCCGGGCAAAAGGGGGGGATTGGGAGGGCGGGGGGTACGAAGTTTGCTGCATGCAGCTCTGCATGCAGCTGGCTTCGGCCTCGCAGAGGGGCCCATTCCTCGATGCATAGCCGCCTCCGGCGCCGGGAGGCGCCGGGAAAATCGGCTGCGTGAGCTGATTCTCGAACCCCCCTCTTTGCTATCCCCCCCTTTCGCCCGACCCGATACAGCGGAGGCCCATGCCAAGAAACGCCCTGCTTGCCTCCATGGTGCCCAGGGGTTCTTGGGTTTCGAGGGGAGGCGCGACTTTCCCACACCAAAGATCGATGGACGTCCTGGGGTCTCGGAGTTGGGTTTCTTGCGGAAGGTGTCGTGTGGACTGGCCTCCACTGTAGTCGAATCCCAGGCCCAGCCCCCGCCCTCGATAATATAGGAGTATCTTGCCCCACTGATGTTCAGGCCGTCTTTTGGTTCTCAGGCGGTGCACCCTGTGCTTTTTTTCTGTGCATTTCTTGGTTTTCTGTCGCGGGTCCCCAATGATGTTGCCAGTGGGCGTCATTGCTGTTCGACCAAGATCGGAGTCGGATATAATAGTTGCCGTTGCGCGCAGTCCTCTTCCAGAGCCACACGGTCGAGGGTCGACGAAGGCTTCCTGGTTTTCTCTGAGAATAAGATGGGCCTGGAGAAGCAAACATTCAATAGTTCCAGCCCATAAAGTGTATGTGTTAGGTATTTGCATACAAAGTCGCTTTTGTAAACAAAGGTACCCGCGAGTTTTGTATGACCGTCTTTCGTGCTTTTGTAATGCATGTTCTTCCTGTTTGCTTGAATGTCCGTTGTTGTTAGGAACATCCGTCTTCGACTTGACGCCGCCGTGGGATCTGGGGACCTCGTCGCCGCGATAGGTCTCACGGCCACATTGGCAGTGCGCTTAATTGGGGAGGGGGAAATGACACAATCGATGAGTGACCTGCGCGGAGATACTTGAAAGCTTCAATCGCGTTCGCAGCCAGGAGTGAATGCGTGGTCGGTGCGGGGCCATTGCAGGCGTGTTCCACGCGACTGTGCGGATCGAGACACATGTTTTTCAAACGAATTCCACATTGTTTAAGAAAGGGGGTGGGGCCTCCGATTTCATTGGTTACCATCAGCTGTTCGCAGGATCCACCAGTCCAACGGGGAGGTGAAGATGTGCGACCACAAGGACCGTCCGCCGTCCGCACCCCCCCACACCACCACTGGAGGAGGAGGAGGAGGAGGAGGAGGAGGAGGAGGAAGAGCGAGGAGGAGGAGGAGGAGGAGGAGGAGGAGGAGGAGGAGCGAGGAGGAGCGAGGAGGAGGAGGAGCTAGGAGGAGGAGAGGCAGGAGAAGGAAGGAGGCGGCAGGAGGAGGATGATGCCGAGAGGGAGGGAGGAAGGGTGAGAAGGGAGGACGACCAGGAGTAGGACGATACAGGACGACGGATTAGCATGTTGGGGGGCGATGCGAGGAGTAGTCGGGCGGGCAGGCGGGGAGGAGGGATGACGGAGGAGACGAAAAGAGTGAGGCGAGGGAGAGACGAATAGGAGAAGCAGGAGGCGGAGTAGGGAGGATGGGCGACAGAGGGAGCGAGCGGTGAGGGGAGAAGCGGATAAGATGAGGCTGAGGGGGGAGGGGCGAGGGAGGTGGAGGGGGGGGCAGGAGCGGTGACGAGGTGGTGGAAGGGAACGGGGCAAGGGGCAACCAAGGTCTAGCATCCGAGGACGGAAGCTAGCCGAAAAGACAAGAAGGAGGCCGTGCCTCAAGGGGTGCAGGCAAGTCCCACACCCACTAAAAGCGCGCACGGGCGCGCAGAGCCGCACCCAACGCCCATTCCTGCGCAGTGCCGACGCCAGGCGACGGCCCTACGCGGGAGCGGGCGGTGGGCGCGGCTCACGTCCAGCCAGCACCTCGTCCTTGAACCAACCCTGGCCCGAAGACGCAGCGCCAGAGCACGGGGCGAGGAGCTTCCGCCAGCTCGGCGCTTCAATAAGGCAGTGCGCCGCACAGCGGCGGCAAATCAAGTAGCGGCCAGACGCTTGCACAACATGACGCTCATAGACGATGGTGTCAGGGGGCTCCATCGGGGCCTCAATGGAGGACTCGAGCACCAGCGCCCTGAGGGTACCCTGGACGGCGACACATCGCGCCCTGGGTAGGGCGCCTCCGCGCCGCCAGGCACGCACAGCAGAAAGAAACAGGTGGAGGGGGGACGGGGCACATCTCGCACCAGGCTGCTCGAGCTTTTTTCTGCTCAAGGCCGTCCGCGCCGAACAGTGGCACCACGTGCACCTCACCGCCTCAGAGACCCCCTCCACCAACTCCAAATCGTGAGAGAGAAGGGCGAGTTGAGGGATGCCGTCCCCTCTAGCCCGCACGGGTGTGGGCAGGTCTGTGGCTGCGGCAGCAGCTAGCTGCGACACCCGCGACAGGAAACCCAGAGTCTTATAGCAATCCTTGATTTTTCCCGCAACACTGAGGTGACCAGCTCAGGCAGCTGGTGCTCACTCGCCCCCAGTCGCGCAAAGAAGTCGGCCCAGGCGTGCCCAATGCAATCGACGACACTACGTCCGACAACATCCCAGGAGAACGCCTGGCCTTCAAGGACCTTAAACAAATCCTGGTGGGCAGGCGTCCAGCGGAAAACAGGCCGCTCGGCCCTGCCCTGGTACAAATCAAAAACTTGCCTCCAAACCGAGGCGTGTGTGCCTCTGCCAGCAGCCAAACCAGGGTCCCAAGAGTTCCCTTCTTTGGCCGCCGGCAGGTGATCTGAAACCACTTCGAGGCCCCACGGCCCGACCTTCAAAGCATGGAGGATAGCCTGGCGCTCGGCCCTCGGGACCGTTTGGACATGCCCCGCCAGGGCCCCGAACTCAGCCTTCACAGGCCATCCCCCAGGAGAGAGAGCAACAACCGACCAGCCACAGCGAGTGGCCTCGGGGGTTCCCGGCGCCAGGCCACTCCCGTCAGTGTACACACGAAAGCCCCAAGCGGCAGACTCAGCGCCCCACGAGAAGACCTTCGTCTGAGCAGCGACAGCAGGGATCTCAACAGGGAGAGAGGGCAAACCATAAACCAACTCAGGAGTGTCGAAGTCGGGAGGGATCCCATACGCTTGCTCTTTCAGCCACTTCCTATGCTCGAAGCACGAGTCTGGCATTGCAGAGCTCGCGTCTGGGTCTTCGCTCACAGCCCAGAGTCCTTCACATTCGTAAAACTGGTGACCAAAAGTGACCTGCGGATGATCGCAGAAGTCGCACTTGCTGCTGGCAGAGTATCCGTGTTGAAACTTGCGGGCTGGGGGCCACATGGCCCCCGCCCAAAGTGCCCTGAGACACGCCCTGCGGGCCCCTTGAAGCCTCTGGAACCCCAGCCGAAGAGCCCTGACCCAGACGACCTCGTGCCCCTGGGCCTCGGGGAGACTCGACACCAGCTGGACCCCCTGGGCTCTGCTAATTCCTTCACGCAGCAAATGTCGCACATCCGAGGGAGACGTGCGCAGCAAAGAGAGAACTTCATTATGGTCCGTCCTAATGTGATGCGGCCCAACTAGATCCCATCCGACTCGCTGCAGCGAGAGCATGACAGCTCCCACAGGCCCTCAGACTCTAGACCAATGCGGGGCCGCCGAGAGAGCTCTCGAGGCCTGCCACCACGCACAGCGCATGTCGGAATCTTTAGCGCGGCCGTCCCACACCCAACAGCAATAACGATGCACGATCATAAAACTTATCCTTATGCGTGCACAGGTACGGCGTCACATGACTACGGCTCTTGGCCCCAAGGAGGGCCGCGGCGAGCGAACGGAGCGAGCGAAGTGCGGCATCAGTGGCGCCTGTCACCGCAGCACCATGGCTGCCGCACGGCACCAACCCCGTCTTCCACAATCCCGCCACCCGCTCACCACCCGCCGACCTCCTCAGGGTGACAAGCCTCTGCCTGCGCATGTCGAGCCGCCGTCTCCTGCGAGCCTCCATCACCCGCAGGGCGCGTCGTCCATACAAGTCGTGGCCGAGATTGCGCATATGCTTTTGCTTCTTGAAACCCAGCGAGCGGCCAGCCAAGGCAATATTTTTTCTCAGCGGCCACACTCGAAGCAACGAAGCCAGACTTGTTTGGTTGCAGAAGGAGGCCAATAGGAGCTACTTCACGGCACAATTCGCGGGCCGCGGCTAAGACCACCTTTAGATTCTTTCATGTCGGGTCCGTCCCATTGCAGGGACACATCATCCATGGGGGCTCGAGCCCGCACCGAAGGGAAACGCTTGACTACCGATTGGACAGGTTGAAGCAGAACTGCCAGCATCACCGGCGACGCCGCCGAGCAGCCTGCTAACGTGCCCTGGAAACTGACATAGGCTTCGGAGAGGGACCCCAAAGCGTCGACCCGCCTGGGGGCCATGTAGCTCTGGATGAGCATCCACCCCGGGCTAAGCGGGAACTGGGCCTGGCGAAAAACCTAAAACAAAACCGACAGTTTTATCCAATCATAGCACTTAACCATATCTAGCAGCAGCGAGACACAATGATGAGACCGTGCCTTCGCAATCTCCGCAGCTAGATTCAAATCAAAAGCATAATCGCTTGAGCTCATCCCCCTCCCAGTACCCCAGAACGCCTGAACCCGCCCCTCCTCGCACGCCGCCCTGGCAGAGAGCTCCCATTTCATGGTCTCTGCCCTGCGCAAGCGGCCCCAGAGCCGCAGCAATGTATCTAGGAGGGCGATCAGGCGGTGGCCGCCGTCTGGCTTGGCCAGCCTGACCAAGCGACTAACCAGCCGCCCCGTTGGCCAGCGCCCAACCCTCTCGCAGCTCATGAGAAGGGCGGCGACAGCCGACAATATGGCATCCGACAAATACTGCAACGATCTCGGGTGAATGCTCAAGCACCCGACAGCTGCACGGGGAGGGAATTTGGCGATCGCCGCTCGCATGTCGGGAATCGTAATCTCGGGAAGCGAAGGCCAATCATCGAAATCGGGCGGAAACTCGGGCGCTCGACATCCGTGAGTCGACCATATCTTGGCCCAGCCCGAGCAAGTCGCATCAGCCAATTGAAACGGTTGCGCTCGCTCGGTGGCCTCGATCGTCTCCTGGAGCCCTCGAAGCTTGGAAAAGCGATGAGCTTCCCGAGCCCCGCCCAAAAAACTGCTCCGAACCCAGGCTTTCCAGGGCTCTTCCCTCGCCGCCAGGAACCTGGCCTGGTGAGTGTCGGCCTGGTCCAGGATTCGCTGAATCAAATCTTCGGTAGCAGGGTCGCCAAAGATCGCTAAGACAGAAAGAACAATTGCGCGTCAGATGGTCCAGCGCCTGCAGGGTGGCACGCTGCCTCGCGACGTTGCTCATGAACGCCTGCGCCTCAAGCAGGATGCGCGCCACCCTCTCCAGCAGGTGCAGCTGCTGGACCTCGCCCTCATCGCTCAGCTTCGGGATGTAGGTCGCGAGGGCCTGGTTGACCCGTCTGATCTGCCGCGCCCAGCGTGCTGCGACCGCCGACGCCGTGTACTCCACGTCCGCCTTCGGCAGCCGCGTGCGCACCACCGACGTCACCGCCTTCCAGACCGTCCCATGCGGTCCTGCACGACCCTCATGTTCCTTCCGCATCGGCCCCATGATGTCGTGCCTGTCCAACAGTTCCTGCTCGAAGCCGTGCGCGATGCGGCCCCAGAAGATGGCGAGCTCGTCGGCGGAGGTCGCTCTGCCCACCTCGTGGATGTGGCCCGTCCAGTCCCTGGGGTAGCGCGCGCAGCCAGGCTTCGCCATCACTGGCACCGCACACGGCTGCCTAGCCGCACGCACCCACAGGACCGCGTCGGGCCCTTGCATCTGCACACAAGCAGGCTTGTGAGGTGACAAGTTGGCCGTCATACAAACCTCAGGTGCCGACGTACGAATAGCCACGTTCGCACTCATCACAAAGAAATCGATCGCAGTGCCTGGTATGCTCTGGGTGCACGTGGGAGTCGTAGTGGCGACTACCACGCCGCCGAAGGATGCCGCCCATGCCTCCAACAACGCAGGCCGCATATTGAACTCCGCACCCAGCACCCAGTCAAATCCGAGAGCCTGCACCCGATGTACATAGCTGGCCACGTCCGTTAACAACCGAATTTTGTTGGGCCCGAACAGCTCATCCACCCACAAATATGCCGAACTCGCAATGAACCCGCCTTTCATCTTCGAATGG